CCAGTCTTAGCTAGACCAAGTCAACTGGCATTTGTAGTCATTGGCCCTGACCACAGACACACAACTGTTTCTTTGACTCTCTCAATGGAAATGACCGCTGATTTGAAAGAGAACCTCTGCATTACTTTGTTTTAAGTCAGGGGAACTGAGGCATTTTCAATCATCGCATGCAATGCTAAGGATGATTTTCAGGCTTCCCCTGGAAACTGTTCCTAATGATAAATCCGATCATTAGGCCCCTGTATGCCGGTTAGTGGGATATAGCACACAGTGATCAGCTTTAACCAACCCCAATCTTGGTCAGGATATAATGTGCAGGAGAAATATAGGACTCGGAGAGGAATGCCAAGTAAAAAACAGGAAGGACTGAAGGGCCTTAAGTAATCTACTTTGTGGGAATAACAGGGTGAGTATTTGGTCCTGAACTTTGTCATAATTCTGAGTCTTATTTCTCCATCTTTAATCCAATTACTGCTGAGTCAACTGTGACTTTTATGAGTGTAAAAGTAACCTCCTTAGGGTTTTGATGGTTGATATTTTGCAAGGAGATTACCAGATATTTCTTATGAGGTACCTCTGAATGAACTTGAACAAATTCTTCCTCTGCACCCCAGGCTCCCCTCCAATGAACTTTAACTTCTAACCTTTCAGGCAGTAGACAAACCTTAACCACTTGCACCACCCATACACTCCTGTCTACCTTTATTCTGTATAATATTAGTTTATGGGTAGTAATGGTTTGTGTAGATTTCTGTGATATTAAAATGTTGTGCAATCATTGGTTATTCTTTTGATTTGTCAGTGAGGTTGCTCATGTCCATGTGGCTTACTTTTCGTTGAAAGGCTGCTATGAGAATGAACTGAAATCAGAGGGGTAAAAGATCTATGAAATATCTACACTTGTAAATGTAAACAGGGTAATGGTTGGTTAGGATGTACAGTGCAACTGAATTGGACAAAAATAGCTGCGCTGGTTGGTGTTGATAAATCCTGTTAATAAGCACAGAGAATAACCTGGAGCGTTCTCATCTGTGGGTACATATACATTCCTGGGCATAACCTTTGATAAGATAATCAAGTGCAATGAACCAATCCAATTTCAATTCTTTATATCAATGCTTTTTAAAATAGTACATATTTGTAGTATCATCCACTAACTAAACTACTTCACGTGTTTGAACATTTTCAATAGTTATGCCTTGAATTTTTACATTTGAAACTAGAAATATTAGATCCAACATATAAAAAGTTAATTAATTTACACTGAAATGTATACTAGGTGAAACAGTAGAGAGACTTGGTTTGGGACATAATGTTGAATATTGAGTCACCATGAAATGAAAAATAATGCATTGGAAAAATATCAGTTTTGAATAGATAACTGCACAATATATTTTCAATCTGGCTAGGGAGTCTGGTACTAAGTAATAAATGTCATCGAGCATTTTTTGGTAGCTTCTTATTGTCCTCATGGGGGTGGGTATCTGTATGAATTATCTTAAACTTTGATGAAAGTTTGTGATAGAGCTACAGCTATAGAAGTAAAGACCTTTTGTAAAAGCACCACTAGCAAAAATATGTATTGGAAAATTTTACTGTGAGTGCCCAGGAGGCCTCCTAAGTTTATACATATATATTGGTATGTGGTCAGCTTCTTTTGATTGTTCCCTGCCCATATGCTGCTTCAAGGGGATTTGCGGAGGGGCCTGTGTGCCAAGCAATTAATGGAAAGTTACCTGCAGCTCTGACTGCATAGAATTCACAACTTCTCCAGTCTCAGGAATAGCAGATGGTGAACAGCAGCTCTATCGAGAGACACATATATTTCAAACTACTCTG